TAAAGCGCCATATAAGTAAAGGGGATTTATAATTTAGCACAAACAAGGATTTAAAACCACTTTCATCCCTGCTAATAAATAAAGCCAGACGGTATGTATGTGATTATATATATAGTATTATAGAGAACAATATTTTTTCTTTACATTAGATGTGTATTATTACAGAACATAACAAAATAAACAGTAATAATGGGGGATGTTTCAGAACCTGTACTTTGCGCTCTCATCCAAGTCCATGTGTGTCTGTAACTTGGCAAACCAGGAAAAGAACTGGAAAGAAAAACAGAGCCGTATTACACCCAATTACAACGCAAACAGTGTTTAACAAGCTTCATTCAAGTGGCTAACCCTACCTGCTGTGCTGTTTCTATTCTGTCATTTTCCATTTCGAGGAGTCGAAAACCTTGGAGCAGGACGTCCTCTGTGGAAGCAGGCACTGTTGCTGTGAACGGGGACTGCAAGGACCGAGATGACAGACTGCAGAGATCCTCGATGGGCAGCTACAAAACAAAACAGTCCTCAATGACAAGGTTTCAGCTAACTGTAAGCATAGCACGATGCTAAACAAATACAAGGCTACTAGCTAGACTGAACTAAGATAAGGTCGCCTGAATACAGCATTTGCATAGCAGATATCACATTTCTTGGACATAGAGGAGGAGATTAATTCATTAAGCATAAAGGGTACTTCTCCAACATATGAAAATGAAGTTAGCATCAGTGTTAGCCAGCTAGCTTTGTACAGGATCTTCTCTCACCTCCGAGGGAACAGAGAGCGTTTCGGCTGCAGCTCGGATCTCCAGGACAGAGTCCATTTGCTTCTCCGTCAGAGGGGCCGTGGCATCTATACGGCGGTCCCATAAAGACAATTTCTCCCGAGTTTCCTTATCTGTTAGATCCAGCAGGGACAGATCTGTGGACGCCATCGTCACTGAGCTGAGCACCAACGTCAGCAGCTGCAGCAACAAACAGGTTCCTGTTCCGGGATTGTAGGCGGGGCTTGGCGAGCGGCTGAGCCAATAGGAATCGGGAATTTGTGCTTCCGTTCAGTCGGTAAATAACCTGGTTGGAAGTTTTTTTTTTGTTTGTTTGTTTGTTGTTGTTGTTGTTGTTTTACTGAACAAAACACATTATTTTACAATTTTAATTAGGAATCTCCACTTTGCTTTCTTACAAAAAATAAGAGAAGATAACAGTTATATACAGGAGATCAACTTAACTTGTGCAAGGCAACGGAAATAAATAAATAAATAAACAGGCAGCAATATAACAACCAATGGAAACATAAAAAACTTAAAAAAAAGAATTAAATTAAAATAAAAGACAGACTCATTCTGCAACAAGACAGTTTCTTGCATCATGTTAACTTAAGCAATTTAGTGAGTCACAACACCAGACATTTTATCCCCGGTTGTGACATTTTAACAGAAGTCATCACTAATGTGGAAAGAAAAGTTTCCCAGTACTTAGTAATCTCTTAATATAACTAATAAGCAATGGACGTGGAAAATATATTATAAAACCCCATTGGGTTAATGCATAAACTGACAACAAACTAAGCCCTCACATTTACTTTCACAATTGAAAGATTATGTTATGAAATTTAACAGAGACCTCCAGAACATTTTTAAGGGTCACTGTGTTCCTGTGTTTTTTGTTTGTTTTCATATGAAAGAAAGGGATTGCACAATTGGAATGACCTTTAAATCAAACCTAAAGCATTAATTTAGGTTAAAATCCAAAGGAAAATAAGAGAGGAAGTAAACAACTATAGAGCAAGGCAGAGGGTACAGACACAGTGCAAACAGTGCATATATATTAAAACAGGCTTATTTAAAGGATGAGCTGTAAAATGACCTAATGGTAAGATACTAAGGTGCGTCTAAGGTGAGTCTGTAAGCATAAATATGTTTTGCATTTAAATTAACTATAATTTTGCATACTCAGAATCAATATCTTATTATTTGTAATAATCTCCCTGGCATAAATTATAGCTTTCTTCATGAATAACTGTTGACCGTACCTTCTTAGGCCTCTCCTCCAAAATCGAAGCAAATGTCTTAGCATTGTAAATTAATAAGGTGATTGGGCTCCAATTTTCAGCATTTAATTTATCTCCTTTGGGTTTGAGAATGAATTTAAGCCCTTGTTTTTGAGTAGATGCTAAATATCTGTGTAATATTGCTTCTTCAAAAACTTGAACCAGAAATGGGGTAAGTGCTCTTTAAAGTGTTTATAAAATGTACCTGTAAGGCCATGATTGCCCTGTGTCTTATGTCTTTAAGTGAATAATTTCATTGTTACTCACATTCACTCTTACCTTTTCTTTTTTTTTATTTAGGCAACAACTATTGATTTTATTTTATTAAACATTACCCCTGGAATATAATTTCCTGTAGAAATAGGGTACATATTTAATAGGTATGGGTGAAAGTCAAACCAGGAAGGTAAGGATCTGTTACGGAGTCATCTGTCAGCAGAGGCGTAGCCAGAAAATTTTAACAAGGGTGGTCAGGCAATAACCAACGTACATTGAGGGGTGGCCGAAAGCAGATAGGCACCAGAAACTCAGGGTCAATCTACACGGTTCCATCAGGAACAACCACACCATCCATGTTTTCTAAATAAAGACAAACTACACTTTCCTACAGCCTTTGCTAACAAATAGACACGTATATTTAAACAGCTGCACTTTCTACATAAAAGGTACTGTATAGTGGATAAAATTCTTTTAGGTTTGAGTTCTCAGGCAAACATCTTATTCATTGTCATAACTTACCTACTTTTATCAATAATCGTTCTGCATAAAATTAATATTTACATGTACTAATATCTACTTTAAATGGATTACTTATCATTAAAGTACGTATTTATCTCTGATTTCACTGAAGACTCATAGATTGCAGAGACATACTTTTCCCTTTTCCCCATATAAGACAAAATCTAGTTCTGAAAAGAGCATGAATTCTGTATATGTCATCTTTAATCTTAGTATATTGATGAGCAAAATTAACCATAGTGTTTTAGTTGTCAAGAAACTGTTAACATATGAAAACCTAAAATGTTAAATAAGTTAGAACATTTCACTTGAGAGTATTACTGTTGCCACCTTCTTTATTAGAGGGAAAAAATGGTAGGGGTGGCCAATGATTGGCTTAGGGTGTCCATGGCCACCTGCAATTCTTTCTTTTTTATTGCAGTCAGAAATATGAACACATTTTGTTTGCTTTATATATTTTTTTGCCCTCATAATGAAAAGCAGATAAACCTGTCATGAGAGAGTGACGAACCATGATAAATATGTATACAACACACAGCAACCGTGCCTCAAGGGCATGTTCTTATTCTTTTAAACTAACTTAAAGTGAGCATTTTGTTTAGTCTCTTTTGACCAAATGATTTTAAAACTGCTATTGAATCATTGCAGTGGTTATTTGAAAATGTCAAATACTTAAAAAATAGGAAGAGGTTTAAAAAATTTTCTGTGAAGAAATCTCAACACACAAAAATGAGCACATCTCTAAATCTAGGGCTGATGGTATTGCAAGGATGAGGAGGTGTGCTTGGGTATTACAGTTTTGTCTGCGGGGTGTCTCATGAGGAGGTCATGCAGAGTTCAGATTTTTTTTCCCCCCTCCCCCTCGTCTTCTTTGTTGAAAGGAGACGCTGCAAAATTCAGGCTGCATTACTCTGGCACAAAAAGAGATGTCAGAGTGAATCTTGTCAGGAGCGGTATTTGGGCTCAGCATGGGTCAGAGAGGATCCTGGTAAAGCATTAAAAACTGACACTTTACTATGTGGTGCAGGTGTTGTGAAAACACGATCAAGCAGAGATGAGAAATGCAGTAACAATGGCTTTAGACAATAAGCACCTATTTCATGAAATTATCAACTTGTGGGACCCGCTTGTCGCTTTAAAAGAGCATCATGAAACAAAAGAATAAGGTCACACAGATGATCACATGGAGTTTTTTATTTCACCTTTTAAAGGATACCGAAATGTTAAAAACTGCAATGAAAGCATTGAAGCTGCTGAAGTGAGGAGATTCTAAAGTGTGATAATAAATACTACTAAATATTCAAATAAATCAATTTCAAATCAGACCTTGTGAATTAAGCTGCTCTATTCTGACTAAAACTTAGAATAAAACATCAAAGGAAAACATTTATTCTGGCAGGAATGGCTTGGCAATGAATTTTGGAGTTACAACTTGTCAAAGTGCTGGCATTTAATACAAATCAGTTACAATACAAAAAAAATTATTTAAAAAAGCATGTAAGTTAAATTTCTCTTTTGTAGTTTGCATATAAAACGCCCATCAACATCCTTAATGAATAAACAGAACAATAAAATGAAACATTACAAAAATACTCCTGAGCCCGTTAAAAATATCGCCTTGAATTTAAGATTATAAAACAAATTTCTAATCCATCCTGCAAAGTCCTATAGATAATTGTGCAAAGCAAAAAAAAAAAAAGTATTTACAGTTGCCTAAAATGGCCTTAAATTATTGGATTTGAAAATGTGCTTATTAAGTCCCGTTTGCCATATTTCATCTTGTATCCAGTTTAATAACAGTGGTTTGCAAAAATATTCATACCTTTAACTTTTCCACATTTTATTTTTATTTTACAAAGAAATTCAAACCTTTCTATTTGGATGTTTTATGATAGAATAACACAAAAGAGTGCATAATTGAAAAGGAAAATGATAAACAATTTTCAAATTTTCCTCCAATATGAAAATTGTGGCCTTTATTTATCTGATTGCCCAAAATAAATAGATTAAAAGTAACTCCTTTCAGAAGTTACTTAAACTGTAAATACAATTAGACTGTGTGCAGAGTATTACAGTATTCTTTTACACTTTATCGATTAAGCAACAGCAGCTTGGACTGTAATAGATACTGGCTAAATTAAATTTGTACCGTGCATTCAGGCTCTCTATGCTACTAAGATTTTTGTTGTTTAAATGCAGCATATAATGTTTGTTTTTTTTTTTTTTTAGAGCTTTAACATTTCCTATCTGAATCATTATGCAACTACAAATTGAATGTTTTAAAACCAAAACAGTAGACGAAGCCAGCTTTTTTGAACAAATCCATTTTGTTGAGATGCTAATATTTTTTTTAAGCTGAATAGACTAAACAGAATCTGGGGTTTATATTCTATTGATATTGTACCCATTATATTCTGTCTTTATCTAAATATTGAAGATAAAAAGACATTAGAAATAAATAAATCAAAGATGTAAAATACCAGGAAAAAGAGCAACATATGAAAGATGATGTACAGGTCGTGAAACCTAAAAATTTCCCTTCCTGTCTTAAATACAGAATGTGTGCAGGAAAAACTGCACATCATAATTGGCATTTTTCACTCAGGAGGAAATACAAATGTGGGAACAGCAGGAATAGAGAAGCTTGTCAGAGTTCATTGAGGGAAAGGATAGAGATACATAGGGACAAATTCTAGAAGAAAACCTATTAGCGGTTCCATCTACTCTTTCTCAGCTTGGACAATTTTGTAAAAGCATATCCTCAAAGTTGAAAGAAATATTTGCCGCTGAAGTGCTGCAACCGTAAACCATGAAAACGTCTCACATGAACATGGTTCTAAAAAGTAATGATTCAAGGGACATAAATACAATTACCTCCTATCCTTTTTAGAAGTTTATCTGCAATGTCTTTTTTTCCATCCCTTTCAATGATGTAGTTCATTGTATCTATCAGATGAAACCTCAATAAACTGTAGTTTGTGGTCATCACAAAAATGCAACATGGATGTTTAAAGTGTATGAATACTTTTGCATCTTGAGCTATTTAATCAGTCTACGAGCTGGTTAATTAGTGGTTAAAGTCCATGCTCTCTAAATGATCAGGAATGGGCAGTCCACTGAGAACCGTCAAACATCTATTCCAAACATTGAACACCGGGCAGACTGGTTGAACAAAGTCAATGTCAAACGTGTACAAGTGCTGTGAAGCAACAGCATCATAGAAGGAGAGAGACCCTGAATCGTAATCAAGAAGTATCCCAAGGCGCCTCAGGTGTGGTGAAGGCTCGATGGGGATCTCCTTGCTGTTGTGACGCACCACCCAGGAGTTGTTGCAGCGGGAGAGTACCCAGGAGGCAGAGTTCTTCCCCACCCACTCATGTCTTGGTGCAGACTTGTAAGCAATTCCTACGGCAAACCTGGGAATTTGAGAAGGTATATGCTGAGTTTAATAACTGATTAAAATCACTGTAGTGGGTAAAAGAAAGAGGGAAAAAACACACAAAAAAAAATACTGAATAATATAATATGAGCATTACAAAATATTAGATAAGTATATCCCTTTAGTACTGTGCTATACTTCACACTGGTTAATTAACAGGAATCATTCCACACAGAGATGAAAATCATGGAAAATGTTTCTACCATGTGCTGCCTCCAATAAGAGCTTCCCAGTAATGGCGCCCGCTGTCTATGTAGACATTCCCAGTGACTCCATAGCTGCTGTGACTGGAGAAGCGGTCCTGACTGTGGCTCTTTTTAGATGATGTCTCATCTCTCTCCACTGTAAGGTTGTCGTGGGACACTCTTAGCTTCCGGTGAGCAGACTTTGGGTCCAATTTAAATGGCTGACCTTAAGAAAATACAGAAACCTTGTTAAAAAAAAGACTCAATTAAAACTCCTAGTAAAGGTTTGCAGCTGATGATGACCTACTGTTGGTTTTGAGTTTCCCTGGAGCGCTGCTGCGGCTTCCAGCCTGGTTTATGGCCTTTACTATAAAAATGTAGTTGGTACCACACTGGAGTCCATGTACAGTGTATTGATTTTGCTTGATGTTTGGGACAATCATCCAACTATCAACAGAGTTACACAGACCTGCAGGTGCAACATGCATAAAGCCATTGAAGAGGAACAAACAGTTAATCACAAGCTCAGTTAGCAGGAAAAACAGCATCATTCTAGTCTGCATTTTTTTTTTAAAACAGAATCTAATTAGCACTCATGTGAGCATGTTTGTGCATTGGGGCAGATGAGAGAACATTGTTTGATTGAGCATATTGTGACCACATAAGGGCGATCAATTCCAGCAGCCTGATGCTCAGTTCCAAACTGGCACCATATCAAGACTATTGTATAGTTTGCATTTGGATACAACACAACTTTATTCCCTGTCCTCTATTTCCCATCACCATAATTCTTCCATTATGGTTTGTTTTTGTTTTTTATTTTATTTTTTACAGAAGTCTTTTACCAGAGTAATTAACTAAAAAAGAGCGAGGAGAAAGTGTTTGAGTCTGAAGTTTATATTGACTTATCCAATTAAATCGTGAACTTTTAATAATTAATGTGTACAACTACACAACACAAAACTTCAATGATCTGGAAACAAAAATATGGTGCAAATGTTGAAATTACAGTTGCTTTTAATTCTTACAAAGCCAAATATATACACACTGTAGTACTACGGATAAAGAAATGGATAAAAGGGTTCTGGAATAATTAAGGTTGCCTATCTAACCCCTGTACTTATCAGAAATGATAAAGTTCTTTATAATATTTGACATCTTGCACTTGTCTTCTTTGATAAATTTGAGGTATTTCATCGTCTTCATTGTTCTGTCTAGCTGATGTAGAATGGTAGTAGACATCAGCAAACAAGTCCCCCACCCCACATGATGCTAATATCATCATGATATTAGACAGTTTGTACAATGTTCTTGTATTCAAAAGGCTCACCTCAACTCTTTGCACTGTTCTTCTTGCCATTGTGATCAAATATTTCTTGTGTGACCATGCATCACTTATGTTTCAGCTGCTATAGTCAGTGGTATTCTTACACCTTTTTGGTTATGGTTGTTCCTATGTATCTCAATGGTTTTCCTTTTTTATCTCTTTTTATCTACAGTGCAGGTTTTAATGAATTATATATATATTCCTATCCAAAAAAACTGGTAAAATTATTCTTGAATTGATCCCAAAAGCTACAAATACATCACTTTTCTGTCATGTTTGTCATTCTTTGCACTGGTTTCCAGTCAGCTTGTAGATTCTCCAATATCTAGTTATTACATATAGAGCCCTGTAGGGTTTATATTTGTCTTTATTGTTTATCATCACAAGCTCACACAACTAATCCCCTAACAGAAGTACATTATGCACTTACTGACAACATTAGACTGGCTGGTGAAGATGGCGTACTGCAGTTCATATGATATAACAGAAAACTCATCATCCGATGTCCAATGAACGGTGATGGTGTCATAAGAAGCTGTACAAAGTTCCTCACGAATTGCTGGTGGGTTTGGTGCTGCAGAAGAAAACCAAATAGCTCTTTTTTTATCAAAAAAGATTAATGGATTAATGCTATTGATTTAATTTCACACACAAAAACATAAAACACCCAAACCAAGATGTATTGTAAAGCGCCAGTAGAGGATAAATAGCTCCATCCATTTGTTTTCTTTCAGTCTGACAAATGTAATTAATCTACTCTGGAGTTCCTCCAGCTATTACAACCACAGCCCCCATGCAGTGTTACATTTTCAGTTCACAACAGGGGCTGAGCACAAACAATCAGGCCTCTTTCATTCTGCAAAAAAAAAATAAAGCCACTGCTGCCAAATATAGTGAGCTTTTTATTCTTCTGCCACTTAACATTACCAGTGATGAAATTCAAACCCCTCTATTCATTACCATGTATAATCCATTATTTAGATCAAAAAAGTGGATTATTTTCAGACCATGCATTGAAAATGCTTTAAATACATCTTTTATTTCTGCTACATTTAAACATGTCAAGGAAAGAATGGCCAATGTGCAAATGTACATACAGCCATCAAGCCAAGAATTAAATATTAACTTAAATAAGATTGATTTCACTCACCTGTGAGGTAATCTAAACTCTCAAGCATTTTCTTTTCTCTTGTGAAGTCCAGAGCAAAAGTATCAAAAGCATCATTAAGGTTAATTTCTGGTAGAAGTATCTGAGAAGATGCTGTTGCCATAGATACCCTGTTATAAAAAGGAAAAAATGTCACCCATTAAGCGGTGAAAATGCTTCCATTTGTTGCATCTCAAATAATTAATTATTAGGAAAAGTATTAATACCCTCTGAACATTATATTTTGCTAGGCATATGCATTTAGAAAGGTGATGAAATTATTTGTAACAGAGTCCACTTGTGCGCATAAATACATATCATGTCACCATTTAAGGGATAATCCTGCTTACAACTACTGGAGAAAATGGTGGCGTAGCATCTTATCTGGGCATGCTTTTCCTTGGCAATAAAATGTAAGGTGGTTAGAGTTGAAAGACAGATGGATAAAGCTAAACAGTAGGCAATTCTGGAAGACAATCTGCAACTGCTTTTCTGGTACTTGAGCTCAAAGAAGCAGTTACAGTTTAAGGTACATCCATCTGGGATGTTAAACAGAGAGCTAAAGGAGCGCCTTAGTCTCTGCTGCTAATAAAACTGTACAACTCTTCTTGCTCACCATGTGTATTTACAATTATTACTATAATGACTGATTTTATGTAGCTGTATTTTTGGTGTGTTTATTTGTATGAATTTTTGGCACTTTCCGGACACATGAATTTCCCCAGTTGAATCTATCTATCTAAGAAACATGAATCTGGAGTGGAGTTTTAGCTTCCAGCTACAGTAAATTATAGAGCCAAGCATACAGTCTAGAATAGAAAGGTTTATATTAGGTCTTATACAATTAATCAAATTAATCATGATTATTAATTAATTATTGAAATAATCATCAAATAATTTAGTAATTGATTAATCGTTAGCTGGAACTTAGAAACTCTAAAACATGCCTTTAGCTGACAGAGCAACTCACCGTGAGCAGCAATTGTACCAAAATTATTAAAAAAATATGTTAAAATTTTGCAGTTAAGATAAAAATCTTTTTCGTCTCTCAATATTCTCTGTCCAGAATTCCTCAAGTGGAAAAGTTTTAGCTTCACCAGGTTTAATTTTGCAAACAGTCTTCTTTAAGGAACCTTTTCCATTCAATTATTAATCGATCAGTCAAAAAAATAATCAACAGATTAATCGATTTGCAAAATAATCCTTAGTTGCAGCCCTAGTTTAGATAAAAGAATGTTAGAACAGCCGTCTGCCACAATGTCTGCTACAAGATTTGAAAATTACTGGTCACAGATGTCTGACAGAGCTGTAATAAAATTGTAAAAAAAAATATATTTAAAAGAAGTGTGTTTCACTTAATCACAGCTTGTAGAGACAAGCTTCAAAAGAATTGCTTTAACAAAAGGTATTTCTACAAAATTTTGATGAGGGCTTAATACAATTAAATGGCATACTTATGTTTATTTGTTCCATATAAAAACAATCACACAATGGCTCATTAAAACAAATATGTTTGTAATGATAATGTCACAAAATATGAGAAATTCAAATGGGAAAGAATACTTTTACAAGGCCATAAATATTGTTGTTGTTTCATCTCACCACTCTCTTACCTCTCACAGATACTTTTAGCCGTCTGAAGAAAGCGGGCGTGGTCGCTCTCTTTGAGGGTTTGGTCAGCCTGAGTGATGAGGGAGGACGATCTCTCGATGCACTGCTTGCAACCTGCTATCTGTTGAGCAAGCTTTCTCAGCCTTATAGCCTTGGCAGAAAATATAACACACATATGGATAATTGATTTTACTAAACACCCAAATACTGCAGTGTTTAACATGTTTAACACGTGAAGCTGGCTCAGCTATACTTGATTTGAATGCATGTTTGAAAAGCATCCCTAACAGCGCTGTCAGATGCACCACATCCTCTTAACTGGCTTCACAGCCAAGAGCAAATTCACAACCTGTCATGACCTAGAAGGTGAGAAAGAAAAGAGTCCTGGAGAGGAGAGCGTCGCAGGGCTAATCTCATTCTGAGACTGAACAAGGCACAACGAGACATCACGTCTCTAAGGGAACTTATCAAGAAAAGAAAGGTAAACAATATGAAACACATTACATTCTAAATGATTGCAGGAGAAAAGAGGTATTAGAAATTCAGTTTGAACTACTACAGTGTATATGTACTTCCATTTAAACAGCACACATGGGCCATATATTCTAATACAGTTAAAGAATTCACGATGTAGCCACAGAGAAAAGTTGCTTATATTCTGTTTTAATTTTGCAGCAGCATGCATATAATGGAAAGGAAAGCTCTTCTTTAACAAGAGGAAACCTCTAGCAGACACAAGCCACGTGTCACTGGACATCAGCAAGAAAAGACTGGGGTTTGCAAGACAAAGCATACACCCAAAAAGAGCAACACAAGAAGTAAACCAGGGTTACTTTCTAAGTTAAACATAAGGTCTTAAGGAGAGAAACATAGTCAAGCTATTTATTAAACAGTTTCAAACATGATTCAACCTATGTGCAAAAAACAAAAGGAATCTCTTTTGTTTTTTCTAGTTTAAATACTTGACATGACCAGGAGCCGAGGCCCAAGTTGGTTCCAAGAAGCTGAATGGGGAACTGTTCCACACACTCCAGAGATGTTTAGAAGATCCTTATTATGCAGCCAACCAGTGTGAGCTTTTTCCAAATAGAATAAGTGAAATATTTATAAATTAAAGAAAATCTAAATGAGCACTATCATTTCGGCATTCCTACTTCCATTATAAGAAGTAGACTGTTTATTTATGTCTTAATAAAACTGCATATAATATCAAAGTAATTATCATAATACAATTATCAATTTTTGGCTGTACAGTCAGTAGCACTGCTGTCTAGCAGGAAGAAGGTTCCGGGGTCTTCATGCATGGAGTTTGCATGTTCTCTCCGTGCATGCATGGGTTCTCCCCGGGTACCCCGGCTTCCTCTCACAGTCCAAAAACATGATTGTTAGGCTAATTGGCTACTCTAATTTCTCCTTAAGTGTGAGTGTGTGCATGAAGTGTTATTTTGTGCTTTTTTTTTTTTCTGTGTTGCCCTGTGATGGACTGGCGACCAACCAGGCAAACCCACCAGGGATAAGTGTGACAGAAAATGGATGGATGAATGGATAGTATTGATTTTAAATGAAGGGGATCATATTGTGAAACAGAGAATAGGTATATTTTACAATAATGTTTCTACTAACAGCAGATTTTATAGATTTTAGAATTATGCAATTATTTTATTCAAAATTGGCCCTATTTTAAATTTGATCAAATCAACACAAAGAATATAAAGAATAACTGTTTACAGCAAGATTTTACTCATGTATTCAATAGGCCCTCTAAATGTTTTCTTTATTGATTCCGCTGCATTCCCTGTGTAAACCTGAGGGAAACGTTTGTCTCTCCATACCGCTATGCTTTACTTAAAGTCTACATGTTTTTAGTAGCTCTATAAGGTTTGAAAAATCACAACAAAAAACTGTTTGTCTTCATCAGCTGAACCTCTATGTGTAAAACAAACACCTCAACATCGCAGGTCAGAAACAACACTATCGAATTCTTATGAACACAACACCCATGGTCTGAGGAGGTAAGGTTATCGACACAGACAAGGCAGTGCACATGTATTCTGATACCAAAAATGAACAAGTGTACCTTTCCCTCTTTTATCTTTGTAGCTATAATTTGTCTTCGCTGCTGTATGATATTAATCAGTAGGTCACACTCTTCCTGCAGCTTGTTTTCTTGCCGAGAAGCATTTACCTGGACAGAAGAGGAGTTTCAGATAAATAACAGTGGAAATAAATGTTGTTCACATTAGAAGATGTTTTGAAAAAAATGTTGTACTGCATGCTTCTGTATCAGAAAGATGGAAATCTTTACAGTATTTCTTATGAGGATCAAAATCTATAGCATACAAGCAGAATGAGACAGAAAAATATGTTTCTTGTTTCTCATGTGCGGCAAAACAATAATTGACTTGGTTATGGATTTCTCTCTTTGTCTCATGTGTGTATCATCACAAAACAGAATAAACCTTTTAAAGCCTGCATTAAGTAAGACTGGAATGATAATATGTATTAAATTTCAACATTTTCAGCTGAAGATATATAAATAACCTCACCTCCACATTTTGGCAGGTTTGAATAAGTTTTCCCATCATGCTTTCTAATTCACTGGTCCTCTTGATTAGACTGCTGAGGTTGGAGTCCAATGCTTGCTGCAAGACAAAATTGAAAAAGGATTTTTATTACACTCTTTTTTTCTTAAAGCAGTTGAACAAACACAGATGAGCAGGTACGACATATAATGAGAATAGAGGTAGAGCATATCAGAGCTCACATGTACTGAGCAGAAGCTGTAACTAAATCTGACTGTCCACTTTTAGGCTCTGATTAGTGCAAACCCCCTGAAAGACATCCCTGTGGTGTGCCAAAGATCCCATCACCCAGAGTGCTGGGCCATGGAGCTTAGCAGAACATCTGCCTGTGATTAAAACAACTAAACCCTGGCTGTGTTAATCACTGACTGAGATCAAAGGCTTATGTTTCCAACCCAATCTTTCAGCTGTAATTGGGTGGCATGATGATGATGTGGTCTGATGGAAAGAAACATTCTCTTATATGCAGAGAATTATCCTTCAAAAATGGAAAATATATATTTCAAGTGGAATTTGGCTCAACAGTGATTCCTCCCGTTTATCTCTATAAATTATTAACATTGGATAAACTGTTAAAACTTTTATGCTAGAATTACTAATCTGCAACATTTTCAAATCCCACATTTATTTAGCATAATTATTTATATTTGTAAATGTATGAGCGATGAGAATGCATGCCTAGAATTGCTATGCATTTTAAAGGCCTGTTTTGCCAAACATGATGATGCTATCCTCTACTTCACAGTTAAGATGCTCTCAGGCTTGCAAGCTTCCACCCTTAGCTTCCAAATTTTGTGGTGGTCCTTATGAGTAAACACTGATGTTTTCCTTTCAACAGACCACAGGGCAAAAATGTTTCCAAAAATTAAGGCCTTTGTCACTGAGTGCATTTGTAAGCTATCAATTTGCTTTGTACGTTGTTTTTGAAGAAATGTTTTTGCCTCTGAGTGGCCTTTCAGGCCATTTGATATGGAACTAATTTCACTCTGGATAATGATACCTTGTTACCAGCTTCAGACAAAGACTTCCCGAAGACTTTTACTTTGTTCCAGGCATATAACCCACTTTCTATGCCAACCTGGTTTCATCTCTGTGCCACAGGAAAAATGTTCTTCCTAAACTTTATGATGGCTGGACATTTGTTTGACATAATGTTTATACCTAACTAAAACTATTGCATTAGAGAAATGTGGCACCATATGTATTATTTTGTACCAAAGGATGACATAATCTTGTGGAGATCAACAATTATCTTTTTGATACCTTGGCCTTTATCTCTTAAGAGAAGAATTCTCTTGTTTCTGACTTCTTACTCAGATTTAATATCAGACGATAAGAACGCAAATCATATTTCTTTGTACTCATCATTTTTAGAGATGCCAACTTATTTCGTTACATTTTAAGTGTGTGAATAAACTGTTAGAAATCTGATACAATTTTTGGGCTCTTTTGAAAAAGAAACAAGTCATTTTGAATCCCTGGATAGAGTATTTATGTCAGGGCTCAGACAAATGGATCCAGAATTTAGGCAGAAAGAAAAGGTTTGTTTAAAGATAAAACACTTTATTGACAACTCTGGAATATGCGACTTGTCAGCTGGGACTGGCTTGCTGGATTCTCTGTAGAAACAGACACTCAGGTTAGTGATCACTAGGCTCAGACGGGGAACAATAGCGACCCTGCTAATCACTAACCAGGTTCTCAGTTCAGTCTGAGTGCCAGAAGAACAAGTGGGAACCAGTCAGATGACTTCTCCACAACATGAGGCGGGAGCCACCCAGAGAGTTCCAGGAGAAAGGGCAGAGCAGCCTGTAGAGCGGAAGCCAGCAGACGCTGATGAGCAGAAGAATCCAGAGGCAGAATCCAGAGCAGGTAACGAAGCATGGGTCCAAACCAGAAGATCAAAGACTCGCAGAGGTACCAAAAGTATAATCCAAGCCGGGATCAGGGGACAGATCCAAGGTTGCTAACAGGCCGAGTCCAAACAGCAGTCTGAACACAGGTAACAGGCAGAAACCAACCGGAACGGGGCAAACCAAAATTCAAGAATCCAGAGGCAGAAGCAAGTCAGGATCAGGCAGTCAAACAACACTACAGGGTACGCTAGATACTTGTCACACTAGGTTCAAATAATCTGGCACTGATGGCTAGAAAACAGGCAGCATAAATAGAGGCTGGGACAGGTGGATCAGATGAGGGCAGATTAAAACTGGGTGCAGCTAAACAAGTGGAAGGAATGAAACTAATGAGCCAGTCATCAGTGCCAAGATCATGAAAATTTACTGCTGTGCTTCATTTGGGATTTGTTCCTCGCAAAGGTACTTCACCACATGGTCTAATATTTGGTTCACACTGTTTAGTCATCGTTCACCTCAGACAAAATTACTCTTGTTCTGATTGATCATTCTGATAGATGTACCAAATTTTAGTATATCATTCATCAAGAAGAAAGTTGACTCTGTTCTTTTATTTTTCAAGTTTGCTGTTTTGGCATTTCTATATGGCATATCATATAAAGAAGACGGTTGCCTACATAAACCATGTATGATTTGCTCTGCAAAAAATTTGTACCTTTAAGACAGAATGATAATTGTGTAATTTACTTACATTAGGACCAGATTCAGCATCAAAGAGGTCAGACCACATTGCAGTAATAGTAACCTGTGTTTGCATAGCTTTCAACCATTTAGATTACTTGTGTTACAATGCACAGTGTGTGTGGGTCTGTGACAAGATAAGTGTGTTTATGCCGAATGGGTGTATAGGAGAAAATGTTTGACTCGAGGTCAACTGTTAGAGTAGCCTGAATAGTAGAAGGCCTAAACACAGATCACCCAAGAGCAGTAAAGGATCCAAAATGCTGCAGCAGTGCAAGGTCAGTCATACACCCAGGTCATCAGTGGTAGGTCATCAGTGAAGCACAAGAGCAGAAGCCATCAAGTCAAAGAGTCACAGGCTAAGATGTAGGCCACCAAACCCCACCCAGTCACATATCTAGTTTGGCAGCCGTAGACTTTTTTTGTACTCAAAAAGTGTGTCAGAGCACACGATATGGTTGGCATGTAAGTAGACTAAAACATATGGGAGCTTGAAGTGTTAATGCATCTTATAATTGAAAAACAGAATGTTTCATTTTTCTGTTTTTGTAATCGACCAGCTGATCAAAGATCAGAGCTGTGGGGAGAATTGACATGATTAAGATTGTTTTTCTTAAGATAATGTTTTTTTTTTTTTGCTTTCTAAATATTTGAAATATGAAAAAAAAATATATATATAGTTTCTATCACTGGAAGAACACTTTGATTTTAATGCACATCTCCTGAAGCCTATACATGCAATGATTTCCAATGTTCAAAGCTGCCACTGAGTCCCGGTTTTTAGCCACAAAGGCAGGGCTAATTTGTCATGGTTAAAACTTCATTTAATGAAAAATGCCTGGAAATTCCCATGTTCACACTACTTTAAACCTATTCAAGGCAATGTATTTAAGGATTGAGTAGGTAATCAGGGCTTTGAGATGCCACACAGAATATAAATAACACACAGGAGAGGAAACAGTGCTGTTTATCCCTTGTGTCTGCCTTAGTGCTGCAGAATACTGCTTAGTCATTTGGAACAAATCACAGCCAAGCATCTCAAAACAGAACTCAGCTCTACAGTGGCCCTGAAATAACTACAGTGTCTGAAACTATAAAGGCATATCAGGTGTACAGAGCATACAGAGGAGTGTATAATAGTATGCTTCTTTCTATTTGAAAACTTTAAGTAGAATATTGCCTGATTTTAAAACTTATGACAAACTCCCATGTGATAAAATATAATTAAGAACAAATTTAGCTAAATGTGTTCACTAAAAAGAGCACATCCACTAAATAGCATAAAAACTGAATCATAGGGAATGCCTTTTAATACAGCCCACTTCCCATGTCTATGTTGGCCTCTTAACAAATTACTGATTTTATAGAACTCATTATTACACATTTATATTTGGCATTAATTTACATTAACAATATGCCCCCACTGCCGATCATTTCGAAATATTCAAGCAAAGGCTCAGGAGCATTATACAGGAATGCTTGTGATGTCTTTATCCTTCTTTTTGTTCTTGGCTTTATGCAAATTTTTTTAAATCTATTTTTGTATTCACAATATTTGTTACTTCTAGGCAGCTAAAGATTTCCTAAATATTGTTTCACTGGCAACCTAAATACATATGTTAATCTTGACGGCTTTTTTTTTCATCTTGAAGCTGTTTTATTCTGCATGTCATGAAATAAGTAAATATTTTTACCCTGAACAACTTTCCATTGGAGAGAAAATCAATGTTGTAAGGTGAGTTGTTGTTCTACCAACATTCAGACTGGCTGGTATACAAAAAAAAATCTGAAAGCTACACAGGCTGTAATGAATTTAAAATAATTATTTTAGTTTTTTTTTTATATTAAAAAAAAATAAAAAAATGGCAACATATCTGCATTATTTTAGTTCATAAAAGCAGATTTGAGGAAAGAAAAGCTTAGCTATGCAACTTTTGAAAATACAATTTTTGGCGATACCATGACAAAAATCCCAAGAAACACAAAATAATGGTAGGATAGACAGCCAGCTAAGTTTATTGAATTTGGCAATCTTACAGTTTATCAATCAGCAACAGATACAATCAATATATAAAAGTGCATTTACCAAAAGTCCTATGTTGGCATAATCCTTTCCTTCAATTTTTGTACCCACTTCTAAATTTGCTCACTTACTCACTTGGGATGACATTATGACTGGTGCAAAAAATGGGCAAAGTCAGCTACTTGCTAATTCTTACGGGCTGTAATTATGGCTTTAGACCAAGCTAAAGAAAGCAGAGAGGTGACCGTACTCCACTGTTTATAACATGGGGTTGAAGGCCATATATTAGAACCATTTTGTAATGCTTGTGTATTAGCATGAGAAGTGTATGATGGAAAACAAAGATTTTGAACTATATAAAAGCTTGTCACTCCTTGATCTAAGCAATGGCTTATGCATAGAATAAATACAACAAATATGAAATAATCCATTAAATAGAT